TGGCTGTTCTCACTTTCTGGCATTTCCACACATGGCCATCTGTTTGAGGGCTGTTTTAATGGGCTCTTTCCCAACATTTATGTAACTGGCCAATTGACAGGAAATGACATCACCAAGTTTCCTGAAGACTATCACTGGAGCTGCAAAAAAGTTAGGAAACAAATTGCTTAGTAAAGAGAAAGATGTTTTTCAAATGTCGCTTTTTTTCTTTGCCATTTTTTTCCTTTTCCCTAGCATTTCTAACAGTTTCTTTTCCCGACCTCTGCACTTCTATGTTAATACTTATTATTTTTCACTGTGCTTTCGGGCTTCTCTTTGAATTGTGAGAAGTTCAGGCTGAAAAAAAAAATGCTGGTTTTTTTTTTTTTTGCGTCTACATGATATGATCATAACGTGTTGAAAAGTAAGGAGTTTTCCAACCTACCTCTCCAGTAATAGATTTGACTGACTTCTTTCCCTCAGGTGACAACAGATTTTGAACCTGTAGATCTAAGCCTTCAAAAGATCTAAAGTAATTCTCACAAGATCTGAATTTCTCTGCTAGCAGAGGGATGCCTCAACTGTTCCTCGCAGCTCGGCCCACAGACCGTGACTGAGTGAAAAGGCACATTTGGAAAGTATATCATACTTGTTGGCAAAACCAAGACGTCAAAGCTAGGAACAGGAGAGGTTTTCAGAGCATGGTTATCGGTCCTCTTATCCCAGTGGCTCAGTAATTTGCACCACTGGACCAACGAGGCCTTTCGTCTGATTCCAAAATGAAGCCATCTCTGGAGGAAGCCTTGCAGCTGTTTTTAAAGCTCACAATCGCATGGAAAAAGTATTCCTGTTAGAGGAAATTCAGTATACCTGCTGAGTATCTTCTCAGGGCTTCAGAGCCGAGGGTTCACCTAGACAGGAATCTCTTTAAGTGACTATGTTAAAGACTTTGGAAGTTTTTTTGGTGGGGAGGGTAACTAGGTTTGTTTATTTATTTTACTTTAATGGAGGTACTGGGGATTGAACCAGGACCTTGTGCATGCTTGGCATGTACTCTATACCCACTCCTCTCCAGAAGTTTTAAACGCCTTCATGTCATTCCAGTGCGAGTGCCCAGGGTCTCCGGGAACACTGGACTGCTGCAGCTGCGTCGCCCGAATCAGCATTCTTCCAGTCGGGGTGGAGGTGTGTCCTTCTGACACCACCTGATTGGTCTGAAATGCTCCTCCTCCCCTCCATTTTCTTCTCTCCTCTTCTCCACCCATCATCATCATGGGTAGTAGATTCTGTTGGTGCCTCACCCCGATGTCCTTTGCCAGCCGGTGCATCTGCCCCCTCAGGTGTTTTGAGTTCTTTCTGGGGAACTGCCGTTAGCAGATGGGGGCCAACTGCTGGGACAAGGACAGTGTCACCAGTCCCCCTACCCTCCTGAGTGACCAGTGACTGACAGGTTTAGCGATACAAAAGCCTGGCCACATATCCTCAAGGTGAGACAAGTCTGTGGTGGAATTCACACTCCAGTCTCCCATGCACCAACAAAGGCTATGCTTTACCTGAGTCCTTATCCTTCCTTGGCTCTTTCCCATCACTGTCCAGCTTAATCTACTTCCTTTCAGGTTTTTCCTAAAGATTAATCCCTTAAAAGTCACATATATCTGAAGCTCTGTCTTAGACCCAGTTTTTTAGGGCCTCCTACCCAAGACACTCCGATTATCAACAATGCTGTATGAATGATGAGACTACAAAGAGCTGTCAGGTAGGCGTCTAAAGCATGAGAAGGGCCACTGTCAGAGTTTATCCAGCAAGACAAAGGCAGCAGTTGGGAGACTGTGAGCGAGTGGCAGCATCTAAAGAAAACAAAATTTAATGTAAGAAAGAAGAAAACATCAGTGATAGATTACTAGACAGATTTTAAAGAAGTTGGTGAAGATTGCAGAGGTAGATGAAAAAAAAGTTGCTTGGATTTAAAACAAAATGTTAAAACATATGTCTGAAGAAAACTTGGAAGTCACAGAAAAGTAGAAAAATAATCACCTATAATCCTACTATCCAAATCAAAATCACTATCAAAATCACCAGTAATCCTATTATCCAAATATGATCACTTTTTCATATATTTCATTTCAATGTCTTTCTTTCTATGATATTTTTCTAGATAAATGTATCTATGTGTTTTATTCATATGTATCTGTTTACATACCTTTATATATTGGGAATTGCTACATATACAATATAATACCCTGCATTTTCTTCTTGAACGTTACTTTTTATGTCATTTAGTACTCTTTGAAAATCTGATTTTTGATGTCTGCACAACATTAAATTCTATAGGTTGACTATAATTTAAATATATACCGGCTGTCAGAATTTAGGCTCCTATCATTTTCTTGCTGTTTATAATACTGCCTTGTACATAAATCTTAATATTCATTTTAGATTTTCATTTATAGGCTACACTTTTTGTAGTAGAATTACCAGATCAAGTGCATGAAAATTTAAAATTTAAATTGTCAACTTGCGTTCTGATCTTTGCCAACATATTGGCAGCTTATTTCCAAAAAGGATGTGCCAATGTGTAACTGCCCTAATAAGGATATCACTTTATTGTGCCGTGGCTGACATTATACCCTGTCGTTCAAGTAACTTAAATAAAAGTAAATTCAATAAGTTAGAGTACATTTTATAGTAAACACTGTATTCCGTTTCTTTTCATTTTTTACTTTTGTGTGTGTGTGCACACGTGTAGGTCTCTTGGACCTCGTTTCCTCTGATTTAAAGATGAAAGCTTTTCTTGTCATTAACTTTAAAATAAGCATTTTCTTGATTGCCTTTTTCCTTTTTAATAGGCCTTGTAGAGATCTAGAGACAGATACCCCAGTGAAATCTTAGGTTTTCAAAATATGAAAACAAACTAAATTGTTGAGGGAGGAGGGAAGAAAAAGGTGCTCAGTCAGCTCTTGCTCTGGAGGGGCATGAGAATTTCTTCACTCCACCAGAGCCAAGTGAGTCTTTGCTCCACTTGAATTGTCTTGATCCGTTGACCTACTACATCCCATGTGAAAATATCACATGGCAAGAAGAAGCAGGCTGCCGACTGGATGGCAGCTCGTGGGACTGAAACTCAGATTGAGGGATGTGCAGTAACAGCTGTGCAGTGCAGGGCAGGCGACGGGAAAGGGAATGGACCATCTTAAGACTTCTCCTCTGTCTCCCAATATGTCTGTTACGGAATTAGGTCTGGCATGTTCCTTATTTATAATGTACCAAGTGACACACTAGGTAAGGATGTAACGTAATGATTAATTCACTCATCTAATAAGTATGCTATCACAAATAGCAACAAATTTCTTTTTTTGACTTACAATAGTGACCGAATTGTATGTGTGTATGTTTGCTATATGTACACATATGGACTTGTGATTTCAATAATCATATGCCATTTTCAGTTTTTAATGGCTTATAGGTTTTGTTGACAGCATGGAGTCCAGAGAAAGAAGGAGAGGGAGACAGAAGAGAAACAAACTGGGGAGGGGATCCCTGGAATGACTGGGATGGAGAGGAAAGGCAGAGCCAGGGGCAGGACGGGCACCTGGCAAACTTTGTTGCAGTGAACACTTTGGTTAGAAACAAATTCAAACTATCTATGATGGGATAAGTCACCTTCCATTTGCTGCTTCCTTGACATCCTGGCTCCCCAGTGGTGGCCCTCTCCAACGTGGTCCTCTTACCACTGCCCTGATTCTGATTTTCTTTCTCTTGTTTTCTTTCAAGTATGTTGCTGTTACACATTGAAGAAAGTTGTGTCTTATCTTTTAACACTTTGATGTACATAAGTGCCGTAAAACATGCATCTTGCCATATCACGTTAATGGAATGCTTTTTACCAACAAAATACAATGTGAAGTGTTGTAGGTTTTGTCTGCGTATTCAAAATAATCTGACTAAACTTTATTTTTTAAAATCTGTTAAGTCAAGTAAAATTGGTTTTTGACTACGCTGTGTCCCTTACCTTGGCTGTGCTGGATCGTGCAGAGCTGTTTACTTCTGCTCTTGGTCCCTGCCCTTTCTTGTCTACCTGTGAACCTTATGAAGTACTTAGCTCCCTGGAGGGTCACTGCTGTGTCACACTGAGCCCTATGAACTGTCACATTCTCTAACTTGTAATTTAGAAATTTGATATGCCTGAAATCTGAATTTGGGGTTCCTAATGTTTAACAAGGGTGCACCTTGCTTCATCAACACCCGGAGTTTTGTTTTCTACAGAGGGAATTCTTTATGTCAGGGGATACCTTTAGGTGGTAATCCCTAAGGCCACCTCTGACTTGCATATGAACTCTTTAAAGCCAACGGGCCACTGGGTTGCTTAATGCGTGGAGTGATTAAAGATGGTATCTGAGACGGGCATCATGATTCCAAGAGTATCTGATTTTCTACCTCCTCCACTCCAGGTGTAGTAATGATATGACCGCTTTAAGTGGCGAAATCAGACTTGTACCTGTGGCTATTTTAAACATTCTTGTGGAACGATTTTAATGAGTTGCCCAGTAGATAGTTCAGCTGAGATAATTTTTTATCATGTGGCATAGATGACTTAAAAATCTACTTTTAATAAACACATAAAAGACACACCCTACTTCAGCTCTGTGATGATACGTGTGATGCAGACATACACATACGGTTTTGACACATCCCTCGTTAGCTATGTGAGAGTATCTGTGCGTATGTATGATTTAGAAACACTATTTTTAGCTCTGTGTTAGCTTTTCCCTTCTGATCATATAATTCTATTTTAGATATGAAGTAAAGTGGCTTTAAAATATTAATTATAGAAGTCAAGCTTCTCTGAGTCATGCAGTGACCTTCCTCCACCCCGCCCCAACCCCACCCCCTCCCACTGTTATTTTGTACATTTGGCATAATCTGTTTTCTTTAATGAAACAGAGATTTCCTTTCCAAGAAATGAGTGCAAGCTCTGGACTGAAAGGCTGAAAATGTTGATGGTGGTGTCTAGTCTGTTTCTCCAGGTATGTGCTATCTACATGCTGAGCTTTTGCTGGATGGAACCTTAAAAGTCAATTCCTTCAGCAGAATTGTCTCCTGTCTCTAAGGTAACAAGAATGACCACTAAGAAAAAAAAATACATGAAATTACACTGCTGAGAATTTTTATGCTTTTCTCCCCAGCCTTTTGGTGGTGGAAGGACCTTTATCGTGCAAAGGCAAAACTGGCAAGAACTTTATACCTTTGGCTTAAACATTAAACAGGAGTATTTCCGTTTAAATTTTTTGCCCTGAATGAGTAGACAGAGGGGTTTAGGTTCAGCGCCAGGAAAAGCTGGAATGGCTTTCCTTTAAGTGGGAAGTGGGGAGAAGGTGCTGTTTTGTCTTTTCACGGCAGGTCTGATCTAGAGGAAATAAGAGGCTTTATCTCCGAGTCTAAAGAATTAAAGGAGGATGGCAATGGGATAACAGTATCTGGTATGGACTCCCTGTTGTCTGTGTCACAGTTTAAATCATTTGTTCACAGTTGGTCACAAGACCTCAGTCTCTATTCCGTGCTAGCAATGCATTCTTTCAAAAACAGGAAGCAGCACTTGAAGTAACCGCAGATTTACAGCGACTACCAGGCTGATCCCTGGTCTTTGTCGCCGCTTTCCTGTTGCGGTCTGGAGGAAGTGGCAAAGAGAGGAGAGAGAGAGAGTGGGGGAGGCGACTCTATTACAATGACGGGTGAGACTGAGCCCCCTGCGTTCTTAGTGGGAGAGTGATGAAAACACTTTAAAACAGTTGCTCAGTAGAAAGTATTTGACATCTCACCTCCATCCACAAGCAAGAGTTAAAGGTTAAATCACACACACTCAAGTGCTGGGAAAAGGATGTGTTTATGTCATCAACTTTCTTTGTTCTAGGACCGCCCTGTGTCAACAAGGGGACAGACATATTCCCTGGTTGGAGCCACCAGGACAATAGAGACTGATCCACAATTTGTGCATGACAAATCCCCTTCTGAACATTTGTCCTTCGCTCCTAGTTACACAGGCTCCTTCACCGTTCTTTATGTGTTTCCAAATAGCTATGTATTTAGAAGTGTGCTCATGACCTTGTCTCTTTCTTCATCCAGATTCTTGAGGTTCCAAGCATGAGACTTAGTTTAAAAGGAGGAAAACCTGGGGTCTTTTTTTTTTCCTTTTTATACGTTTCCTATGTTGATTCCAAATTCAGTGAGCACCCACCCTGGAATCCTCTAAGTGGTGGTAGCACATGACTGATGCTCACACACGAGGATTTTTTGGGAAAGGCATTTAGTACCTTTCACAGAGTTCTGAAAAGTTGAGCAGGAGATTTCCTGACCAGGTTAAGAAAGATTTAAATTGAAATTGTGAAGTAAAGGAAATGAACCCCAAAGAGCAATGCAAATCTATTGCCAAGGAGACCAACAGGTATGCCTTGGAAGGAAAAATAGTATAGAAAAATGTTTCTTATCTTTTGGCAGGTCAGGATCTCTTTTGAGAATCTGGTAAGAACTCTGGATTATCTGTTTGCACTAAATTTTGTTCATGTTCATGTAAACCCATGTTCAGGAGGCTCAGAGGCTCCTTGATGACTGTTCAGAGAAACCCTAGAGGCCCATGGCTCCCAGTTAAGTGCCTCTAATGTGGAAGGTCCTTGGAGTATGAGGGGACCAGCAAAGGCAGCTCCCATGCATCCTCACCACTTTTTCCAGAGTTAAACTGAAAGTCAGTACACAATAGGTACAAATAGCCATGGTCCAAAGCACATGTACAACTAAACATTTTCTAAAAACAAGATTGTGGACCCTGGATGGTGCTGGGTAAGCCAGGCTAATGCTTTCTGCTGGCACATTTTCTATTATCTGTAGATTTTGTATGCCAATCAGTTGCTAGATCCTTTTCATATGTGAATATTGTCATTTAAGTCACAACAAAAGTTGCTTGCTGTCCTTATTTTTGGCCTGGAAAACATCTGTCCAAGTCTATGGACTTTCCACCCTCCGATCTCTGTGTTAGGAATTTGTCCAATGTAAGTATTAAATATCATCGTCTGATATGGTGAAATGCTGGCATCATTTAAAGATCATCCTTCACCAACAATCTGACCAGGGTTCATGTAGCTTTACAGTTACTGCAGATATCTCAAAAGAAAACTTAGCTTCATCATTACTTAAGAAGAGCTACAATAGTTTACTTAAGCCTTATTATTCAGTGCTTTGAAAGAGGAGCTCATATGTTTATTACACAATTTTTAATAACTGTATTCCAATGTAATTGGCTTTCTTTGAAATATCATGTGGTTTTTTTTCCCTAAATGTACTTAAAAACATTATCCTGAGAAGTAGGCCATCCTTCCTCCGACTGCCAAATGGGGCTATGGCACAAAATGCTTAAGAACCCCAAGCAAAGAGATGATAGAAATACATTTTCCCTGATGTCTGACTGACGTTCAAGATTGGTAGACTTGCTGGGAGTGTTGTAAAGGTACCCTTGCCCTTGCATGACTGGGAAGCAATCTCACAAGGGTAGAAATAGCCTGCCACTCAACAGAGGCTCTTGTAACTTGGTCAGACTGGAAGCTGGCTGATTCGGTTGCTAGAACATGACCACACCTGGCGTGTGCTTGCCTCAGGGCTTGAGGCAGAAGCTGAGGCTTCACTATGTTTCTGAGGTTGCGTGACTGTATTTTCTTCTTCCCGGCTGCTACTCAGTGCTGAGAAGTGTCAGGATTTAGATTGAGACTCGTTTTCATCACAGTATACCAGTGTGGCCTCGTGAGGCTGTTGGAGGAGCAAACCCATAGCTCTCATTGATGTCTGACCATCAGAGGCTTAGACGCTGCCGAGAGCACTTGATGGTTTTGAGCAGCCAGACGGGCTTATGTCACTTTGCTCCTCCTCTTTTTTTAAACTGGTCTTAGCCTTAAGCGCTGCAGTTTCCCATGGGTAACTGGTGGTTTCTTCTTCCCGACACTGTGAATCTTGTATCTGTTTTCTTTCCTCTTTCGTGTTGGCTCTTTGACAGTTAAGAGTTAAATCTGTTGGTCGCCTGTAGCAAGCATATAAAATTTCACGGCGTAACTTTTGTACTTCTATTTCATTTTGAGAAGGCAGCATAGTGAGTGACTAAAAGCATGAACTCTAGAGACAGACAACTTGGGTTCAGATCTACTAGGTCACTAGTCAAGTGACCTTGGACATGTTAACCTTTCAGTTTCCTTATCAATCTTCCTAAGGGTGTCTGTGATGGAATGAGATAACACATGCACAGCACTTACAGCAGGGTCAGGGTTCCAGTAAGAACGAATAAGCATTAGATATTATCCCTGGCTCCATCTTATTTTCCTAGATTATTTTTGCTTTGCCTCATGTTTTATTCTTTTGCTTGTTGAAGTCTTACTACTATACAGAATACACGTTTTGTAAAACTCCTAAATTCCTTTGGTTTCCTGATAGTAGTGAGGAGGATGTATTTGGAGAGAATGGAATTAGAAGTATGGAAGTTGGTTAGGAGAATATAAAAATAATCCCTCGGATAGAAGATAACTAAAATGGTTAGGGTTAGGGTTAGATGCAGAGGAAGAGACGTATCTAATATATTTATGAGATTCAATTGACAGGACCTGGTGACCCATTTTATGTGAAAGGCAAATAATAGTAAATCTGGGGCGACTCCTAGTTTGCTAGTTTAGGTGACTGGGCAAATGTTGATAGCATCAGTCAAGATCAGGAATATAGAAAATGTCCTGGAGGTGGTTAGGGGGAGCGATAATGAGTTAAGTTTCGGCCATGTAGAGTTTGAGATTTTTTTTTTTGTGAGATAATTAGGTCTAACCTAGTAAAGCACTGAAAATTAACACTGAAAGCTTAGGAGATATTATAAAGATGGATACACTGGTTTAGGATTTAGCAGAATATATGTTTTTAGCAATGATTATAGGTAAAATTGCACAGCAGTCAGTGAAGGCCAAGGAACTTTTGGGAAGTAAGCTTAAAGACAAAGACTGTGTCTTCTCCATCTTTGTGTTCCATTCAGAACACTAGCCCAGTCCCTGGCACAGACGAGATGCTCAGTAAACATTTCATGACCTATCAAATGAAGGAGTGAATAATTAAATAGAAGAACGCCCCAGAGGAGGCTGAGAAGGAGCAGTTAGAAAGACGGCAGAGAACAAGGAGAGAGTGATTACTCATAAGGGAGAGAGTTTAAGAATAAGGGCACAGGAACAATTTGAGGTGCTGGATGATATATAACTGAGACCGTTTGTGCACTGAATGACAGAACCAGGACTCGAAAAGATCTCAAGAGTGTGGAATTTGGAATTAAATCTCATTGTTATTTACTAGGGATAAATGGAAAGTCCTAACTTAGGTTTAGAAAATCAAATGCATAAGTATTAGATGTAGATGACTTGGTTTAATCACATTCCTGGCATTTAAGAATACGCTGAAAATTCAATAAAAATTAATACTAGAGCCTGACTGCCATGGTATTTAATTAGGCACTGCTAATAAAAATATCCAGCATGAAAATATGTGGATAATAATACCTTAGTATATGTCATAGGTACAATTTGGGACAATGCATTTCAAGAGAAAAAAATGGTAAAACTACAGCATATGCAGGGAACAACAAGCAGAGGAAGGAAGCGTCTGGAAGCCATGTCACTCACTTGAAGGTTGTTGGGGGAAGTTGGTGTGTCCCAACTTCAGGTCAAAGGGGTGGGTATAGTCGGAGGTAGAGTGCAGGCTTAGCATGCACAGGGTCCTGGGTTCAATCCCCAGTACCTCCATTAAAAACAAACAAACAAACAAACAAACAAATTCAGGTCTGAAGAGAAACTTAATCTTATTCTGTGCAGCCAAGTCTGGATCAAAGGACAGAACCACAGAAGTGACAGACCGAGAAAATCCAACTCACTTTGAGATTCGCTCTGTAATTAGGCCTGTTTTCTCAATGGAATTAATTATTAGTGGGGAAAAACAGTTTATTTCAGTTTACTTATTGGTTGACTGAACTAATGCTTTGAGGGCATCTACCAATATTTCTAGGATACAAATCCCTAGACAGTAGAGATGGAGAGGAATGGATGAACTCAAAGCATATATCAGAGTAGGTTTAATAGTAATTGAGGGCCTGATTTGAACTGCACTGATTTTATATGAGAGGTTAGGATGAAGATGATTTCAAGGACAATTCTCAAGATTCTAGCTCCTGTAACTGGCTGTACTGTGAAAGGAGTCCCTTGGAGATGCCCCACGTTTAGGGGCGGCAGGGAGATTGGCCATGGCTGTGAGTTTTCTTTGGGAAGGTCATGTTTGTTGGGATGACTGCAGACATCCAGGTGATACCACTGAGAACTGAATCCAAGTCAGAGGGTCAACGTGTCCGCTGTGGACAGGCCCATTACATTCCTTGGTGTTCAAGTGCTCTGTCTCCCTTCCCCTTTTCCCTTTATATCTGGGATGGTGGGAGAATATGAAGCTCAAGTGTGTTGCCCTCATTTTGTCAACAGAAAACCGTGTGCAGCTGATTTTTCAAGGCTTTTATTTTTTAGAACAAATTTGGACAGAAGGCTTGTTACCTGTGTTGATTTAAATCAGAGCTTTAAAAATGATGTTTTTCAGATTCTCTGTGGTCTTTCACCCATGGCCTTAGTAATCCTCATGCTGCCTCTTCCCGTAATTAAGATGTTTTCTGCAGGTCTGATTGCTTGTTAGCAATCTGAGATAATTCGCTGAAATGTACGCTGCAGATATTTCTCCCATTGAATTATATTGTATAAGTGTCTCCTATGAGAAATCGAGAAATCGCCTAGAAATTGTTGCACAGCAGTTTTTTGATAATATTGGTGATGGGGATGAGAGAGAGGACCATTAAGTCTGGAAGACAACATAAGCATTCCTAAGAAAGTATACTTCAGCAACCATGATTAAGTGCCAAGAGGTCTTTTAAATAAACACTTAAATTAGGAGGGAAGAAATAGCCATCAAATAGAATGATGCTGCCTCATTATTCTCTTCCGCCCACAGTAACAAGTCATTTTTCTTTATTTAGTCTCTAGATCCACTA